TCGGCTTCTCCCAGGAACCTTCCTCCCTCATTCCGCCACGGCTCTACCACGCACCTCCCTCCGCACGTCAGCCCGGCGGGCTCTTCTAGGCACCTCCCTCCCTCAGCTGCTGCAATTCTTCCAAGCACCCCCCCCGCCCCGTTCCTATCAGGCACTCTTAATATTCCTTCCCACACCCCAGCCCTGCGGGACTAGTGTGCCTCTCCCGCTGTCCCCTCACACCTGTGACATGCAGAAAACCAGCAGCACCATCCCATGTAGACGCCTTGTCGCCTACCACCAAGCAGATGGGCAGAAACACTAACATCATGCTATTTAGAGGCATGATATAGTGGAATACCTGCCAGCTTATGCACTAAAACGACGTGTCCTATTATATGCAGCATGTGTGGATGAAGAGACATCAGAAAACTTAAAAATCCATCCAAAGTCTGACTCTCTCTTTCAGAAATGAAGAAAGGCATGAAAAAATTTATTTTGCTGGTTTTGCTAGCATTCCTCAAAGAAGACATATCACGTATACCCAGATTTAGGGTTCAAGCCATTTTCCATTGAAAGCATTGGCATAATTCCTACGGAGACAAGCAGGAGCAAATTTGGCCTTTTACCGGACACTTCACAATGATTATTTAGAACATTTAGCTTCTATTCATACCTCTAAAAACCAACCCACCTACAGCCCCCTCACAGCAGGTACTGCATAACTATATGATAAATTACAGCTCTGGTCTCAAAGAGCTTACATACTAAAAGTGAAACTCTGGCATTTCTCCTCATTCCTTTTTCTGATCCCTAAGATCATCAGGGCTCTTGTTGGTCCCACAATAGTATCAGTCCCATTATTTCTTGAAGTTACTTTATTTTACTCATTCCTGGGAATCTATCCATGTGGGGACACCATTACGCCCTAATGAAGACAATTAATTTCTATACAAGAGTAGGGTCCACCATGATCAGTTGGCAGGATTTGGTCTCTGCTAGTAAACAGCCTAATCTGGTTGCAGGGGAAAAGGATCTGGAGGGAGTCAGGGGGCGGGAAAGAACTGAGAGAAAGCAAAGAGGAACTATGAAGAAATGATGGATGGGAAACAACTCATTTTTTAGTCCTGACAGCGGTCTGGCAACCTCTTGTTTATGTTTTTTTCACATTTCAAAACTGAATATGTAAGTTCACCCTAACAGCAACCAGATCTGCCAGAATACCCTGGTGTAATAGACTCACTGGGGTCCCCAGGGTCTGAGCGTACTCAGCCTGCTCTGGGGCTACAGGACAGTCTACACTGTAAAGGCGGCCTCGCTACCCCGCTAGAGCCGTGCCCCAGGACAACCCGCCTTCCCCAAGGCCCGGGGGCTGGAGGAACGGGCCCCCACGCTGCCCAGGGGCGGTGTAACGACGAAAACCGTCCCGCTCTCACCTGGTCAGGCGCGTCAGAGACAGTCCCCCGCGGGCTGCATTTCCCAGGCGCGGCCTCGGCTCACGGGGCGGCGGGGGGGGGGGGTGG